TACTTTCGCCAGGCGGCCATGCTCACGATGCTTCACCGCAGCTCCATGCGCAAGCGGAACAGCGAGCAGGCCAGCCGGCAGTATCGCCACCAGCCGCAGTCCTCTATCTCGTCCAATGCTTCCAGTTCGACGACTGCCAGCGGCATAGCGCAGGTGGGCGCAGCTGGTGCCCAGCAGTGCCTGGCCAGCCCGGACAGCGACGAGGGCTCCATTTCCAGTGGCTGCGAGACGGCCAGCACCGTGACCAATGCCAACCAGGAGGAGTACAACAAGTCTCAAAGCAGCAATGTGCAGCAGCAGGTGCTCGAACAGATGTTGATCTACCAAAGACTGGAGGAGTCAAAGCGACGCCAGCAGCTGCGCCACAACAGCGACGCTACCAACTACAGCAGCTCCAGCAGCATTACCCTAAAGCTAAACTCCTCGTCTCCCGCTGAGTCCGTCAGCTGCCTTGAGGTGTCCGATCCCAAGCAGCCGGCGGATGCCGCCAGCGTTTCGGATGACGATTCCGAGTGCAGCGATGAGAGCGGCTATGTCGAGTTCCAGGAGAAGGAGCGCGTCCAGGCGAATGCTGGCGTTGTGGGCGTGCCGGCACCTGTCAAGCCCCAGCTGCCACCCAAGCCGGCGCCGCGTCGCTCGCTCAGCCTAGGCGCCACAGCGGGCACAGGGACGCCGGTCTGAAAGTCCCATCCGCCCGAAAGTATGCTTTAATAAATAGATGTTTCCCCCCTTATTGTTATTTCTGCGCACGCGTCAGCAACAGAAAGTGCAAGAAATTGAATTACCTATTGTAGTCGTAGCCCTAGGTTTACCTTTAAGCTGTTTAGCGCATAAGTCATTTGTTGTTGGCTCATCATACAAAGAAATAACCTAACGATATTATTGTGTAAATGTTTCTTTATTGCACAAAACCATTATACTTATATACATTGATTTTTGTTTATATTTTTATTATTATTATTATTTTTTTTTTGTTTAATATGTCCCCAATTTCACAATTGATTTGTTTGTTCTTATCGGTCTTCCCCGCACTCTTCCTGAAAAGATACTGTTTGATTTGCTCTGTAAATAAACTAGGCGCCCTAAGCACTGCATGTACTATATGTAATCCATGAATTGTATCTTACCTACCTATATAAATTATTATTATGAAATATATGCAACTAAAGTAGCGAACAATATGCGATCTCTATAATTTATGGGAGAGTCTAAAAACATTTTGAGATACCAGATTGGCTCTGTAAATAAGAAAGGAATATCTAATACTGTCCTACTAAAACACAAATTTACATGCTTTATTTAAAGTGTGTCATATTAAAAAGTTAGGTGGCAATATGATCAATTTTGGCCACTCTCTCTTCATATTTCTCACATTCGATTTGCTTTTTTTGTTATTTGTATAGATACAAGTCGTGTCTGCTTTCTATTAATAATAGATTGCAATGAAATAATCGTACATTTTGATATATCAGCGCTTAGGAGCATTCAAATTTTAATGCCAACTAGTAATTTAATGCTCTGCAAATAACAAATTTGTATTAGCGCCGTACTATGCGATTCTCATGTATTCAAGTAACAACCATTTTTGCTTACTTCAATTATAGATGTCTATTGGCAAGTTGAGTTGGCAATCTAATACATTTTCTTCACTCTTACTTCATATTTCTCTCTCCCAAGAGACGGGGATGGAGATCTCACTTTATTTTACTTTCCTGTTTTATACATATAAAAGTTTGTCTTCCTCCTACAAATAATAGATAGCCAGGAAATAATCATACTCGTTCGTTAGTTAGTCAATTAGTACATAAGTATGTACATGCATTTATGAATATGCATCTATATATATTATACTATTCAGATCTGAGCTCTTTGTCCATTCCATCTTATGCTAAAATTTTTTGATTTGCCTTCTTATTCCTCTTGCGACTCACCAGCTGAAAAGGTCCCCATACGCCGCTGAACAATTCTCTAGATTCTGCTCTAGCCCCGAACGTTTGCCGGTATTTCTTGATTTTTTTCCCCTAAATTGCCTCAGCAAAGTTTTGATAATTTGGATTCACTTAATTTAATTAGATAGTATTAATGCGGCATCTCAAAGTCAAACCAATTATATTTTTATGCGGACTCTAAATAATTTATACTAATTTTGGCCAGCACTCAACGACCAAACCAGACGCAGGTATCCCAGCTGTATATAAAATAAATGTACATGTCGAGTCAATCCAGCAATGTCAGCAATTTCTGTCTAAACATCAACCTTTCCGTCGGACGATACAATTAAAAAGACCATAATACTAAAAAGAGCCCAACGTAAGCATGTAGATTTACGTATGCGCAATGGAATATATAGTATATATATATATTTGCCAGCTTTTTACTCCAGGCGAATGTATAATGGCTCTAAGGTAGTTAAGTACCCTAACACAGGGTATTACCGAATTTATATTTTTATATATATGTAGAAGACAAATTAAGTGTATGTATATATATTAAATTTAATTGTTGCACGAGCTGGATCTTATCTGTTTTGTAAAAATGTTTTTATTTTGATACCCGTTCATGCGAAAGGAAAAGAGTATGTTGGATTTTTGCAATGCTCGACTGCCTGTCGATCCGTTCGATTGTCTGTCTGCTTGGGGATATTAAAGCTAAGGTATTAAAGCCGCGAAAATCGTTATCCTCCACAGATTTAAAGATAAAGGGCAAATAATTTCAGAGGAGAGCCAACAATGAGATGTTTTAACCTGCTCATTGCACCCTGAATGAGTATTGGGCAGTCGGTTACATCCGACTGCATCATTGCAACTTGTTTGAATTGAAGTAAAAAAAAAATTAAAACGTGTTGCACATTTTTTAAACTGGGCAATTTGCTCGCATGTGTGCACATGGTTGGAGTTTCAAAAGCAGTTTGCTTGGTTCTTCACAATTTTTATTTGCACAACTAATCTGGCAATTATACATGGTATGAGCACATTTATTGACAAACTGTGGCGGGCAGCGCGCTTTGTTGGCGCAGCAAATAGCAAACGGTGGCTCGGAAATCGCGCAGCGACTGGTCCTGCAGCTGCTGATCGAATACCTGTTGGGGCCAGAGCGCGTAATCCGGAGTGAAACCAGTTAACAATTGGGCAGGCGATTACTTACCCGATTGTAGACAATGGTGGGCACAAAGCTGGGCCGATAGCGCTTGGTGATGAGCTCCGCGTCCAGCTGGAGCTTGGTGCCCGTCGGGGTCTTCATGCAGTACTCCACGTCCGTCAAGAGCCCGGCCTGGCTGGCGCACTGAATGTGGCGAATATTGAAGGTATTTGCTAACTGGTTAAGCAAATGCTGGGCTTTCGATAAACAATCAGCGTACGCACCTTGTCGGCATTTGCATAATTCGAGGCAAACATTTGGCAAACCACGAATTTCACCTGCGCCGCCTGATTTTGGGTGCTGCTTATGACGCAGCTCTGCAGACGATTGCCCTCGCACTCGGCGGGTCCGTGCTGGCAGTGGAATAGGGCGCCGTTCTGCTCGGACTGCAAATGGGAAGATTACCTGAGTTGCCATTTCCCCCTGTTCACCAGCTCATTATAGTTACCGCTGATTTTCCAAATGGCACCAGCTCAATGTCAATGTATGGCTCCAGCTCTTGGTGAACGGGCCCCAGTTGGCGCATAAAGTTTTTGCTGTCCGGGCACAGCGACTCGTACAGCAGCGTTATGTGCAGCTTAAGACAATGGGATATATCAATTAAAATCTTAAATATACATATTTCGCAGCTATTCACCTTTGCAGCCTGACGCTTGTCACGCGGGCTCTCATCGGCCAGGATGCAGCCGAGCACGGCCAAAATGCAAAAGGCAGTGATTAGTTTACACATTTTCACCCTGAATACGAGTTTTCCAATACACTTGTTCAGTATATGCCCAATCGATGGAAACCGACCTTCGATGCACTTTCGCTCAGAATCGAACAGCGCCAGTTTATGCGACCGTTCAATTCGATTTCAGTTCAGCGACTGAATGTTTTGTCGCTTTTTTTGGGCTGAATTTTTTTTGGACCGAGCGCCAAGCGTTGGATGGGACTCAATGAGCTTGGCCATTCTCTCATGTAAGCCGGTTTTTAATTTTGTTGTATTTTTAACCAAACTCCCAATAAAAGCTATTCTGCTCACACATTCACAAATTGTGAGCTAACTGTAATCATGCAAGGTTTAAAATTTTCTTCTTCGTTTCTCACGATTTGATTTCATTTCTCAGCTTGAAATTTTAATTTACGCGGGTGCCGTTAGACTTTTTAAGTAGCCAAAACAATTCAATGAGAGCGCGTTAATATGAACTAGTTCTTTTGAGTGATTATTTCAGTTTAAATTAATATTGCAATCGTTTCTTGTCTTGGGCTTCGAAAATTCCACCCGCAAGTGTGGAAAATAAGCGAAAACGGCTGACATTTATTTTGTTTATCATCCGATCAGCTTCAAAAACTTAATTTAAACTTGTTTCAGCAATTTTGAATGTGTGATAGATCCACTAGAATGAAATGTTTACGGGCAACGCCGGGTAATACACGCTATATTTATTGTTTAAGTTAAATTATAATATAAAGTTAACTGATTTTGCGAAATGGGTAGAGAACTGTTGATTGCAACTTTTTCTTGTTCTTCCAATTTATGAGGCATATTATTTGAAAAGTGATTCACCGACTCCGGTAAAAACCGACTGATGGTAGAACGAGTATATTTAGATTTTCCATGGGCAGCAAATGGGTGGAATATTTGTTTTTTATAAGACCGATGGCCCAGGTAAAGCCGGGCAATACCCACGCTCGTTGCATACATAAGCTTTAACAAAGCCACCTACACTGGGAATTTTGAATAATTTAGCCGAATAGGAGATACCCTATATCCCGCTCCGAACAGCCGAAACGTTCATTCATACTCAACTATTACTTATAGGACCCATTTATAGCGGGTACATAGGATAAATATGGCTTCCATTACAGATAATTTTTAATATCTAAAAATATTCTCTTTATTGGAATAATGCTTCGAGCCAAGCTCGAGCTAGCTGTAGGGTATCGAAGCTAGGTGTAAAATTGCAATTTAACGGCCAGCTAATAGGTCTAACAATCATGAGGTAATAAATGTTTAGTTTTTACCATAATTTCGCAAAGAGTTTGACGTAAATTGTTGTTGGAAGCCGCCTGCAGGTCGTCATCAAGTACCTAAAGATTTTGACAAAATATATGCTTATCCTGAGAGATTCATGAAAAATACTTACTCCATTGTAGATAATTGCAGGTATTTCGTTAAATGCATATTGACTCGTTATTCTCGAGGCCTCGGCCTGAAGATCATTACCTTGGCCGTTCGGTTTCATGCATTGCCTTACGCTCTTAACGATATTCAAGGATTTGGCGCACTTGAAATTCCTTCTTCTCACCAGCTGGAGGTCTTGCATCTGACAAGTGATAAATTGCATTTGCTTTAACTGATTTAAATTGGAGTGTAGAGCACAGTCCTGCATCCGATTGCCCCAACACTCTGGTCGGCCGTGTTGGCATGCATGTCCCCTTCCTGCCGGCTGTTGATAATAATATTAATTTTGAATTCGGATTCTCAGCATAAACTTACTCTGGCCTTTCCGTACGGGACCAAGGTTAGATTAATGCAGTTATGGTAATCCCGAAAAACTGGCCAGAATCTTGTTAGGAATTCTTGGCTGTCGGGACATAGGGACTCATACAACACAGTCATTCCCAGAGGCTGTTTGAAAAGTCTTAGTTAGCGATTGATTTACCAGGTTTGGGCAGTCACCTTTATTGAACGCCTACAGCGTGAGGTACCACATTCCAAAGAAGGTAACAAACACAGAATAATATACAATCCTTTCATGTTAGCCGGCCTGACAGCAGCTAGAAACTGACACATAAATTAAATTTGTTTTAGTATTTGACTGTCTGAAGTGCGTATCGAATGGAATTAATTCCGCACATTCAAAATTGGCGGAACAAATTCGTAGCAAAGAGCTTTTGCTTGAGTGTAGTAAGTGCTGGGCAACAGGCAAATTAAATTACATATTCTGAATCAAGGGCTTCAGCCTTGCTTTAATGAATTACCGACCGACCGCCACAGTCTATCGACGGTCTATCGGCAAGTGACCGATAATTTACATTAACATTTTATTCCGATTAGACCCAGCCTTTTTATTAACAAAACAAACTGAAAACAGCAATAAAAATGAAGAAAAAGGTAAATGAATGGCAAAAACGGTTGGAATAACTCTCGAGCTTAAGTTTTAATTATTTTGTTCTACCCATAGGTACTGCTTATGGGCAAGAGCGGCTCCGGAAAGACGAGTATGCGGTCTATTATATTCGCCAACTATATAGCCCGAGATACGACACGTCTGGGCGCAACAAGTAAATAGGTTTTTGACAGTGTTCCAATGTAAGGTTTAACAATTGTTCACTTGCAGTCGATGTGGAGCACTCGCACGTGCGTTTTCTAGGCAACCTGGTGCTTAATCTGTGGGATTGCGGCGGTCAGGAGAGCTTCATGCAGCAGTACTGTACGCAGCAGCCCGACAACATATTTCGAAATGTGGAGGTGCTTATCTATGTGTTTGATGTGGAGAGCCAGGAAATGGAACGGGATGTGCACTATTATCAAAGTTGCCTGGAGGCTTTGCTGCACAACTCACCCGAAGCCAAGATCTTTTGTTTGGTACACAAAATGGATCTGCTCGCCGAGGATCAACGCGACCGTGTTTTCAAGGAGCGCGAAGGCGATCTCATACGCTTATCCATGCCTGGCAATGTTACATGTTTCCGTACCAGCATTTGGGATGAGACATTGTACAAGTGAGTATTCGCACTGCTCACGCTTTATAAACTGGGTATGAAATTTAATTAACCTTTGCTCTCACAGAGCTTGGTCGTCTATTGTTACCATGCTAATTCCAAATGTGGCGGCACTGGAGAACTCATTGACGCATTTTGCTAATGTAATTGAGGCAGACGAGGTGCTCTTGTTCGAAAAAGCCACGTTTTTGGTCATCTCGCACTGCCAGAGCAAAAAGAATCGTGACTCGCATCGCTTCGAAAAGGTCTCGAACATCATAAAACAGTTTAAACTGAGTTGCTCCAAGCTGGGCGCAAAGTTCCAATCTATGGAGGTGCGCAACAATGCGTTTGCCGCTTTCATCGATACCTTCACAAGCAATACGTACGTCATGGTGGTCATGTCAGATCCCACTCTGCCCTCAGAGTCGACGCTGGTGAACATACGGAATGCCCGCAAGTACTTTGAAGAGCTGGAGAATCAAAGTAACATTGCCATGAACCATCACAACCACAAGTACCACTGATGGGCTGTGACTGTCGTTAAGTTTAATGTTTTTCCGTTTATGTTATTGTTTGTTTTCCGTTACGCGGAACAAACAGTTTATTGTTGCACATCGAAGCGGCGATCGAGCCGAAAATTCTTATTGCTTCCCATAACATATAACCAACATCTCCATGTGTATCGAACGAGTATGAGCGTTGATTTTTCCTACATTTATAAGAATGCTTTACAATTTAAACCTCTAGGTCTTAAGTTTATATACAAAAAACACACATTACATGTAAAAACAAACATTTATAAATACAAAATGCTAACAATAGGACATATTTATATATAAATGCCACTTCTGATACGAGTAACAAGTAACAGTAGGGGAGAACTATTTATAAGCACACTGTAGAAGACCCAACATTGTGTTGCACATATCACAGACACATAAATCCAAGGCACTGCTGGCTGAGTTGGCCGCAGGGTACAGAACTAGGAGTAGAACCGTCTCACCTCCGCGGACAACTGCTCTACGCTGGACTCGTCCACGGCAATGAATCGCTTGGATCCGCGACTAAAGTAGTAAATGTCACCTGTGTATATGTCAAACCAAAGCGCATGCACGTGCAAATTGTGCGTTTCGAGGCGTGTTTTAAGAAAACCGTATGACGCAATATTGGACATTTGTTGCAGAGTATTGATCTGAGACAGTTTGTCTTCAATTGCAAACTTATGCTCTTCATCAATATAGGCCACAAAGCGGCGCAGCGGCGTCTCAGAGGAGAATATCAACGGATCCTTCATGCCCGCATCGCGCCACTCTTGAAACATTTCCAAACTGGTGTTGGCATGTGTGCACAGCCAGGAGCGCAGCGGCGACAGCCGACGGTTAAGCTGAAAGGGCAAGAGTTCATTTAATGACTCCAGACCATACTGAACAAGCTCACCTTGGAGGCAAAGTCGGGATCCCGCAACTGATACAGAAGATTCATAGCCTTGCAATCGCTGTGTCCACAGACAATTATATGCCTTATGTCATTCACCACACAGCCCAGCTCCAATGCCGCCGGCTCGCAGCTAAAGTACTCGTCCTGAAAGTGCTGGGCGTGCGGTATCAGATTTCCTGCATTTCGCACTAATCATGTGAAAAAGTACAGGTGTTAGAATATATATTTAATTTGTTATATATTGATGTGCTCGTACCCACCCACAAACATATCGCCAACGTGTGTGTCCGTGTATCTCGTGGGAATCATGCGACTGTCCATGCAGGTGAAAAACACGGCCTTCGGCTGATAAGGTATTAGTTAAATATTAGAACATATATTTGGGTTCAAGATAAAATAAGTATTAAAATATATAGTAGTATAGAGTTTCTGGTCAGGCTGAGGCATACTTGGACGACAGCCAAAGTACTCGCTGGGATCTGTTTGGGTTCAATATCATGACAAACATGCAGCTCACATAGGGTATCTATAAACTGATATGTTTAACTTCAACTTCATTACACGTCTACATGGAGATACATGCATACAGACGTATATATTATTGTTATTATATATTAAGTTAAACATTTTTATTTAGCTCAAAGTTAATTAGCAAAAGATTGTTGAAAAGTAAAAGCAACCACATTAAGTGTAACAAAATAAAACAAAAATTAATATTTCGCACTTTAGTAAACTCAACCGGTTTGCCTTTACTTTTTGTTTACCAAAAACGCAAGCCAAGCCGGAGAGCCGTTGAGTATTTAAGTTCGCAATTTTTGAGAGCGGAGTGGATTTGCAGCTCTCTAAGATCTTAGCTCTAGAAAACCCTCAAGCGTTCGATGGGTGCATTTTTGAAATACCTTTAATGACACATTTTAAAGAGCACGAGAGAGAGAGAGTGTGAGAGGGAGAGAGTGTGAGGATGAGTACACTGAGAGCGTCTATCGAATTGTCTGGGTTTCAGTCTGGTTTGAAAAGGCATTATAAAGTGTGATAATGGCCCGACACCGACAACAATAAAAACATGAACAAAATAATTCGAAATGTCGCTCAAGGCAATTGGCATGCTTCAGTGCATCGATGTTTTAGCTCATATTATTTAGCAATCAGTTCTGTCAATGACAAATTAACAATTAATGAATGCACGTGATTCAACCAGCTTGACCTCTCCAAGGTGCAGTTACTCACCTCCGGATTGTCGCGAACTTTTTGAAATTCCTTGACCATTTGCTCTCGGGTCGTGTTGCGATAACGCATAATTCCTCTCAAAATTCGCTCCATGACTGGCGACTTATGTTAATTCCGACGACGACCGGGAGATAAGTAATCTTAATTTTGGCACTTTTATTGATCCCACTTCGAATTGATTTGTCTTTTTGTGTGTTCAAATTATGTAGTCCGAATGGAATTGCGTGAACGCGCCGCGCAGCACCAACCAAAACTGTCGGCGGAGCATTTGAAATTAAATTGTTGCTTCCAAAACACGCGACGGCTATGCCGCGAGAGCGTCTGTTGGCATTGTTGACAGTCCGCTTTTACTCTCAGAGAACGTCGAAGTGGCGAGTGGAAAATCTGCTCAAGAGTCGAATAGGTTCGCAATAAAGATTTCATACTGTTGAAAATGTATGGTATATGATATATGTGTATTGTATATATATTGTGTTATTTATTGGGTTTTCCTTAGTTACGTTTTCTTATACTAATTATAATAAACATTTTTTCTTAGAAAATGTATAGCTACTAACTTTCTAACAAATATCCTAAATATGCGATAGTGAAAATAAATTGTGTTTTTTGATCTATTAACTATAACTATATCTTTATCTACAACAACTTTCAGTCGTAGGTGGCTTGCCAAATCTGTCTGATCTAGTCATTCAAGCAACTGAACAACTAGGTTAAGGGGTTAAAGTTCAGACTTGTATATGAGTTAAAATGTCATAAAATTATTTAGCAAAAGTTAGATGGAAAGTAAGGCTAACAAAAATAATAACAATAACAATAATAATAATAACAATAATAACAATAAAAATAATAATAATAATAATAATAATAATAATAATAATAATAATAATAATAATAATAATAATAATAATAATAATAATAATAATAATAATAATAATAATAATAATAATTTTAATAATAATAATAATAATAATAATAATAATAATAATAATAATAATATTAATAATAATAATAATAATAATAATAATAATAATAATAATAATAATAATAATAATAAGATTAATAATAATAATAATAATAATAATAATAATAATAATAATAATAATAAAAATAAAAAAATTTAGATAATATTTATATTGATATTGATATTAATAATTATTTGTACATATTGATACCTTTTGGCTAATCTCTTCTAGTGAATACGCCTACGTGAGCGTATTATCTTCTCTGTGCGTCACACTATTCGCTCAGAGAGCGACATTTGCACGTTTTTCAATCAGAGAATCGAGGGGGCTCGCATGTGGTTGATGACGTCGCCAGCGATAAATTGCGTCTGCAGAAACTAGAACTAGAACACACCTTAACTAGGCCAGTGTCGAGGCGCCTGGGAGGCCCTCTCTATTTTCAATATGCTGTAATATTTGCTTTGTAACTTTGTAGCTTGCGGCAAAAATGAGCGAATCAATTGCATA